GTTTATCTTCACGTATCCCGCGCCCCGACTTGTCGATCCTCTGAACAGAGCGTGGTGGTTAGCTGTGTGGTGGTAGGAAATAAGATTATAAGCAATAGAATGAATTAGTCCTGCTTGTACAGTCAATCATCTTGAGTACAGACCCTAACAAAGAGCCCAGCAGCTTGACAGATCGCCAGCAGGAGTCAGCTCTGCAGTAGTTACGGTAATACATTGTGTTTGTGTCTTTCCCTCGAACCAGTGAATAAAAAACACTGGTAAAAACACGGTAAACACACGCCTGCCCACACACGCTCTCTAGGCTGCAAAGCACGCCAACCATGCATCGACCCGGCGCCAGGCGCGAACTGTTGGTGGTGGTGGTGAGAAGGAGAGCTCTGTGCCAGAACTTTGCAGCGTAGAGAGCGTGTGTGGGCAGGCGTGTGTTTACCGTCATATTGCCAGGTGTGTCTCTACCACCATATTTATGAACCATAAGTACAGCTGCAGTGGTGTCTTCAACTTCATTCTCCCTAGTCAAGCTCCGTATGAAGACATCCAAGAAGAAGATTGCCTGATGAGTCCAGCGGGGACGAAACGTACGTCGCAATCGAGCTTTGTCGTTGCTGTGTCATCTTCTATGTGCCATGCGCTACTTGATGTACCAGCCTGCTATGCCGGATACCGCCAACCATGCATCGACCAGGCGCCAGGCGCGAACTGATGGTGGTGGTGGTGAGAAGGAGAGCTCTGTGCCAGAACTTTGCAGCCTAGAGAGCGTGTGTGGGCAGGCGTGTGTTCATCGCCATATTGTCAGGTGTGTCTTTACCACCATATTTATGAACCATAAGTACAGCTGCAGTGGTGTTTTCAACTTCATTATTCCCGTAGCTATGCAGAAGACGTTACTTCAGTAACGTCTGGCGCTAGCCAGGGTCCACACAGCTTTAATTTGGTGTTTGTTTGTGTGTTTGTGTGTTTGTGTCACGCCTGGCGCTATCCCGTATCTGTCCCGTACTGTACCGTACCATCAAACACAGCTGGCCACATACAGCTGGCCGCAATATTCAAATAGGGCTTTCAAACGCAAGATCATAACGTGAAGCAACTTGGAAGAATGAGTATGAATGCGAAACTTATGGGGGAATGCATGTGGGGCGATAGTGCGGGTTCGAATCCCAGGTAATGCCTGAAAAAATAGGAGAATTGAAAAATTTATAACATCCCTTTTCTTTTTTTGCCGTCCTCAAGGCGGTAGACGGTGTCGTATTACCCCCAACCTTACCTGTCCCGTACCTGTCCCGTGCCTGTCCCGTACCTGTCCCGTACCTATCCCGTACCATACCGTACAATCAAAGACGGCTGGCCACAATGCATATTCAAATAGGGCTTTCAAATACAAGATCATAACGTGAAGCAACTTGGAAGAATTAGTATGTATGCGAAGTGTATCGGGGGATGCATGCAGGGCGACAGTGCGGGTTCGAATCCCAGGTTATGTCTAAAAACAAAAGTAGAAACTTATAAGAATTTATAACATCCCTATGCTTTTTTTGTCTAGGTCAACAAGGCAAAAAAGCGTAGCGTAGGGCCCTGAGCTTCCAAGCTCTCTCGTTATTATTATTATGGATTATTATTAATTTTGATGTTTTTCTCGTACTTGGCGAGGAGTTTGACTTGCTGATTGCTCCTCTTCCAAACTAGCTGAGGAACTGGACTTCCTTAAGTCCGTTTTTCTAAAGAACGGGTACCCGACGATTTATTGAAGGCACTCATGAGCGAAAGGCTGCATAAAAAGGAAAAAACGTTTTGGCCCGGACAAATGTCCCACGTATCTTTCTCTCCCCTGGAAAGGTAACCTCTCATTATCCATGAGTCGCGTGGTACGGAAAATTGTACAGCAAACTTACTACGCGGTACATTTTGTACCCGTTTTCACAACTGTACGTGCGTTCACGGTGAGGAAGGATGTCCTACCAACCCAACTTGCATCGAAATTGGTATACCAATTTGAGTGCCGACAATGCGGTAGTCGGTATGTTGGTAGGACTCTTCAACATCTGAACGCACGTATCAAGCAGCACGTCCCACTGCATATGCTGACTGGCTTGGCACGGGCACTGCGACCCAAACGCGGCAGGCCACTGAAGAATCCTCGCCCACAGCCATCGTTAGCACAATTTTCGTCATCGGCAATAGTGCCTCCATTACCCGTATCGAGAGCCTTGGAGTCGGGTAATGGGCATATTGTCACCACAACACAATGCACCATAACAACACAAGATAACACACCACAACAACATTCAGCTCAAGACCAAAGTGGACGCTGTGATGAGGTAATGCCCTCATCGCCGTCTTTGCCGTTGCCTCCCCCAGAACCGCCACCTACATCTATCATCGGCGGTGCTGGGGCTGAGTCTGTGGTGTCGCTGGCACGTGCATATATGGATGAGGCAAGCACTGAACGTAAACAACGAGAAAGAAGGCTGAAGGGAACGGAATTCAACAAAGAAAGTAGGGGTGAAAGTTGACACTGAGATCCCGAGTTCGAGTACTCTGATTTTCTCCGATCGAATATTCGAGTATTCTTGATATCCTAAAAATCGCACACCAACGGCCTTAAAAATCCACGATACAACCCTGATTGAACCGATTGGCAGTCCTTTTCTCAGGTGTATTGGTTGGTGGGTCATTTGGGCTCTCTCTACTCGTGTACAAATGTTCACCACATAGTCTGCACATCAATATCTGCTGACTGCTGCCCTGAAACTGCATACTTCTGTGGTAAATGCATGTACCATGTATGAGCGAGTACTCTGATTTATTCCGAGTACGATTATATTTGAAAAATCCAAACGAGTATTCGAATATTCGGTATAATTGTTTCACCCCTAAAAGAAAGTAACACAATCAACATTCAAAGACCTAGACGATCAACGGCTAATTATTCAATGAATTATTACAGTACTGGAGATCAAGCACCGGCGAGGACACAGGGAACACAAGATTTAACAACAACAACAACAACAACAGTCAAAAAAATCAACTAGCTGGAGAGCGGAAGCAGTTTTTGGAGCTCCGTAGTTTTTTTAGCATAATAGTCCGCTCCCAGCCCGTATGGCTGTGGATGCACAGGTAGCAAACTAGATCACCTAGAGTGCTGATTCACTACAACCGCCAGGTGTCATGGCCGGAAACGGAGCTGATACGGAGCCCTGGCGACAGCTCTCGTCTTCGACACTGAAGAAGAACACTGTTGTATTCCCCTCGCAAGCCCAGGTAAGCGTGGGGGCCTACATAAAGCTCCTAGAAGAGCAAGGTATCACCGGCATCATTTCGATGCAGACAACAAGCAGGGGTCAATGTAGACTTACCGTTGAGTCATATGAAAAAGCCAAATTGTTGGTGCTCAATGGCTTCGATTGCAAGGGCGAACGGGTTTCACCACGCTTCGTTTCCGCACCAACAACACAGATACACATCCACGATGCTCCGATCTGGATCTCAGACGGTGTCCTAAAAGCTGCGCTCTCACCGTACGGAAAGCTTATCGGTGAGATACGACACGGCAAAATCAAACTTTCAAACGGCACCCAAACAGCAACTGGTGTGCGATTCGCCACGTTTGAACTCAAACAAGGCAGTTCAATCCCGTCGTACCTGCGTACGACAGAAGGTTCTCACGAGCTCCGCATCATCTACGACGGCCAGGTAGGCACGTGCAGGCTATGTGGCCAGCTAGGTCACATCGCGCGTACCTGCCAAAACCGTCGCAGTGCACACACCTCCACGCATGCCGGCAGAGAAGGCAGCAGCACTGGCAGCACAGCTACAGAGCGGAACATGAACAGCGGAGCTGAAGCGGAGTCTCACCGTACCGATTCGCCACCAAAAGCGTCCCCGAGTTTGACCCACGCCAGCGGCGTATCCCAAACGGCCTCCGATGGGGCCAACACCACGCCGAAAGCAGACGTGCTCTCGAGCTCGCACCCAAACGACCCAGTCAACAACCAGTATGAGTCGTACGAACACGACATCGCATCGCCCATGTCGGCAACCAGCACGACCGTGCACCCCGGAACGCCGCCAGGCAGCACAAATACAAGTACGACAACATCCAACTCACCGCACACCGACACAACTACTCCGACAACAAAGTGTAGTCACCCAGATTCGGCGCGTGCTGAAGACCTCCTCTCCTCACTGGTGACTAACACAGACATGTCTAACCAGCCAGCAAACCCCTGGATTACCTCCGAACGACGCAGGAGACCCAGTCCCAATGCGGAATCCTCACCTGATTTCAAAAATTCCAAAAAACAAAAAGAGAGCAACACCATCGACCCTGGCCAAAGCCAACCCCTTGCCCCGGCACAGGGCTCACGCTTCAGCCCACTGGTGTCACACGATACTCAATCCTAGCGCTGTCCTCCACACAATATCAGTGAGAACAATACTTTCAATTGCGGAAATACCCAAAAAAAACGAAACAAATTACAAAAATAAATAAAAAATAATGGAAGTCGCGAATTTCATCAGCTCGAACGTCAGGTGTCTGTTCAACAAGATGGACGAGCTTAGCCACGTGGCAAAGTTGCAACAACCGTCAATAATCGCCATCCAGGAAACCTGGGCGGATCCATCGGACAGCGACGGGATGTACGCCATCAACGGCTACAAACTCATAAGAGCGGACCGGGACACCTTTGGTGGAGGAGTCGCCACATACATACCACACAGCTGCCAACACGAGACAATTACCATTCCCATGACTCCAGCGGAATGTATTTGGATTAGAATAACAATCGGCCAAGCCTCCCTTGTGGTAGGGAACATCTACCGTCCCCCGCGGTCCGACCCCGCAGAGTTCGTGATGGAACTGGAGAGAGCCATAAAGCTAGTTGAAAGACCCCAGAATGAGGTACTTCTCCTTGGCGACTTCAACGCCAAGAACTGCTTGTGGCACCCCAGCGACACCACCGATGCCTTAGGTGAGGACCTGCATTGGCTGTGTGAGACTCGTGGCCTCACACAACACGTCTCCTTTGCCACCCACCTACGCCAACACACACCTACATCGTGC